TGGGAGAATGATTCTCCCCTACACACAGTTCCCCTATCTATTAACATGAGAAAACCGGTTTTGCTATGCAGAGAAGACTGCAGGTTAAAATGCGACTTTTTACGTGCAGAACCGTCAGTGGGTTAAAGCATTCGTGCTTAAATCTAAATCTAGCATAGAAGAAACTGGACAATAAAATAAAACAATTGTAATTATTTATTTTTTTTGATAGTTTTATAAACATTAAATGTTACGAGAACTGTGAAAAAAATATAGCTGAAATAACAAACTATACAACCACTAGATAAATAAAAATCTAAAATATCAAATCATGTCATCTGTTGTTACAAGATTTATTGAGAAGTGAAATTGAAATTATTTATATTAAAATGTGACTTTGATACTTCAGTCTATATACAATCTCTTCAAACCTTTCCTCATTCGTAGCTATTTAAAATATAAAGCTCTGGATTTCAAATACATTTTTTAAAATAAATTTTTAAATTATTTTACCAGGATTTAGTGAGAAAGTCTCAAACTAAAATATATTTTTATTTAATTGGCATTGATTGTGTCAATTTTTTCTGAACTGTAATAGTATTTAAGTTTGAGAACTATATATTTCATTTAAATTTATTATGATAGAGCCCCCATTATACGATTCTTAAGTTTTCCAACACCCATTTTAAATCAAGTTAGTGCCGTTCCTACACACTGTCCATCATTATTACAAATGGTAACTCTTGTGACAACAAATTCTATGTTTAGCTACTAGAAAAGGACAAATACAGAAAACAAAAATTTATCAATTTCTTAAAATGATATCATATTATTACTTATGATGGAACAAGGTTGGGTTTTTGACGTCAAAAAGTGGTTTTTGACATGACGGGTATAATACTGGTTTAAACCGTCAAAAACTGAAGTTTGCCAAGAAAATATATAAACTTCAAAACTACCAACAGTTGCCATGCATTATATTGAAATTTAATTATACTATAGGTAATCGGCAGGTTTTAAAATATTTTTTAATTAAAATTAAGGTAAAATAACAGATTTAAAATCTCAAAAATTTATATTCAAATGCATGTGCAGAAAAATTTTGCACAAAAATTGTTTAAATATTTATATTTAAAAAAAAAATTTTTTTTTTGGTACTTAAGAAAATTAAAAGTTTATTACTATGCATTTTTGACATATAAGGAACATATAACTAATATTTATAAGGAACTTACAAGTTATGTTGTATAAATACAAACTTGATACAAGTGTGTGTATAAAAAAAAAATTTTAATGTTATACCGAATATCTTTACTATCCATTAATTTGAATTTAAAAGTAGTTATATTTATGAATAATGATAAATATAATTCATATTGTTTATTATATTTATTTATAATTATTACACTTATCATTTTAAAACAATTTTTATCTCTTAATTTTTTTTTCTCCACTTGTATTAAGAATACAAATAATGCATATCTTGAAAGCAAGAAGTAATTATTCAACAGCTGAATATTTAGATATTCAACAAAACTATATCGTATTCAGCAAAATGAAATTCACAAGTATTTGGATAAACTAAATTTTCAGCATAGTAAATGAATAGGCTGAATATACTGTAAATCGACACTAACTACTCTGTGTATTTAACAGAAAGCACTTAAATTTGTATTGTCTTATGTTAAAAAGATTATTAAGAAGATTTAAAAGAATATTAAAAAGATTTTTCTTTAAAAGATGTCTAATGTACAAAACTGCTAATGTTTATCTTTAAAAATGTCTAATTTTTAGTATAATCTATACTATACACTAAATTTGGTTATAAATAAATTTCTTAATAATATCACTGCAGATTTTCAATAACACATGAAAATGAATACATAATATTACAAAAGATGTGAGCTTTCAAAAGTACAAGATTTTGGTTACTATTCAAAATATAAGTGTTTCTTCAAAATTTTAAATTTATTTTTTCTAGAACATATTTAGAAACACTATCCTTTATAAAAAATATATAAAGTTTATGTATTAATTAAATTTCACATATGAATATACATTTTTGACAGAGGTTTTTGACGTGACGATTTAAACCGTCAAAAACTGTCACATGTCAAAAACCTGCCAACCCTGTGATGGAATAACTAAGCATAATTTAATTAATTAATTTTTTTTAATAAGAAATTTTAATTCTAGTCCCGGCTTATTTTTATAAATTCTCATAGTTTAATGTTTTTACTCTTAAAAAATTACATTGAAAAGGTCCCCCATTTCAATTTTCTGACATACCCCAAAGATGCCTAATAATCATAATTCTTCAAAATTATGTTTTTTTTTTTCTCTTTTTTATTTAGTCTATTTTTAGCATCATATGTCTCATAATTTACATACATCTCCCTTTCATTATTTCTCTGGGTAAAAACTTTCCTTATCAATAAAATCAGACTTTAAAAAATAAAAAAATTCTACAATCTCAGGCTCAATATGTTTGTAAGCTATATTGCCGAATAAGTAGACACCGGATAATATGCACTGAAATGCAGACAAAATGTGCATGCAAATATGCACTAAAAAACTTGAATATATGCTCTTAAAACTAGAAATATGCATTTAAAATAGAAATTAAAAGTTCAACTTATTTAAATACTACTACTTACGTTTTCCAACAAACACAGCTAAAACATTTTTTTGTTAAAAGGAAGAAAATCAAAATATTTCTTACTTGAATCTACACATTTCTGAAGAAAAAGCCTAAAACTGAAGTATGATAAATGAGAGAAGAAAAATCATCTCATTTTCCGGAAAGATTTTATTAAACTGAATAATTTTTGTTGCAATACACAACTAAGTGTTTTTCCAAATTTTCAAGGGTGAATTGATGTCGTCGGTCATCAAAGATCATTTTGAAAGCAGAAAATGACCTCTCCACGTCAACCGATGTTATTGGACAAAACTTGTACAATTTCGTACTCATTGGTTTTACTTTCTGTGGAAGTTCAGTTCCGTTTCCATTAAGAAAATCATTTATCTTCTTCACTGCTGCAAAACCCGAATTTTTGTTTTGAACGAAACACCATTTTTCTTTTACTTTCTTCCCAACTGAGTCTGGAAGAGCATTGATACACTGGGGAATTTTTTCAATTTCGGATATGAACTCAGCCAGGGGAAGACCTCGTGTTTTGAGCTTTGGTATTGCTCCACTTAAGAAGGAAAAGTGAGTGTCAATTATGGCCAAGTCCTTCTGCTAAGAGATATCCTGTAGTAATTCTTTTGTGACATAAACTGAAGAAGCAAAGGAACTGTCAATTACATCTGCAACTGACTTTATTGTATCAAAATTATTAGCGTAAAAACATGCAGCTTCAATTCATGTACCCCACCTAGTTATCACAGGCTGTGGAGGTAAGGGCAAATCAGGATGCATTTCTTTATACAATTTTATATGCACAGGTGCCTTGAGAAAAACTTTCTTGATACTAGAAATTCAATCATTCACAGAGGAGAATACTTCTCGAACAGTCTCAGCCAGTCTGTGAACAGCATGAGCCAAACATGTAATATGAAGCATTCTGGGATAAAAAATTTCCAGTGCTGCTGCAGATTTGACCATATACGGAGCGGCATCACGGACAAAAATCAAAACATCTTCAGAACCATCTCTATCAAGCCATAATAATCTGATAGAATCATTGACAAACCTTGCTATGGTTGAATGATTGACTTTTTCAAGGGCTTTGCTTGCTAGAAGATGTGGTCGAGTAGGAATATTATCCATTTTTCCACAAATAAAATTAGCAATATAGCGACCGCACTTATCTGTCGTCTCATCGGCTTCAATCCATATAGGGCCATCTCCAATATCTCGTCGAATATCATCCAGTACTTCGTTATATATTGGTTGAAGGTAGTTCTTTCTTAAAGTCGATTCATCGGGAATGATCTGATTGGTACAATATTTTTTTAAAAACTGTCTTAAGTTTGAATTATTTAACTTTTTTAAAGGAATATTGCTGCTTACTAAGGCTTTGCATAAATCACTAGAAAAATCACTTTCCTTTTTAGCTGCTTGAACAGGAATAGTTAATAAACTTTGAACAAATCCTTTTGTATTCTGCTTTTTCTTCGCAGAGTGAACATTAGTCTTTATATGTTGACCGATTTGGTACTTTTTTTCACAGGAAATGTGCTTTTGGCGAATCACACAAAATACTATTTTCCCATCGGTCGTAAGTCCTTCCCATAGTCCGAAGTCCATGTCTTCATTAAATTTGATTAAGTCAACTTAATTTTTGGCATATTATAAAATTCAGCAGTCAAAAATCACGTTCGAAGCTTCACTAACTACGTATTCAACTGATGGATGTCGAAACTATCTATCTATCGGATGGACTATCGAAATATGTTATAATAGCAGCTCTCTCCGAAAATGTATTCACTCCACCTTTTAACTAATCAATCACAGGAAAGGGAGGTCATTTTCTACCTACCACAGAAGCCTTATTTTTCCCACACAGATTGACAATTATTTATTCCAGGAAAAGACATACCTTCATAGAATATCTGACCATCCCTTTCTCAGGTTTCTATGACGAATGTCTGTTTCGGTGGGCCCTTTGTACCCCCCTTCCCGACACACACCTCATTTCTACATCTTTTTCACGTGATTGCAATCACCCCCAGCAACATCAATCCAGCTGACCCTTTCAGGTGATAAAGAACGACAAAACAAAATTTAAAGCGTTCTTTATACTAACATAAAAAGAATAGTGATATGGTTTTAGGAGGGAAAAGCCATAAAATGCTGAAAATATGCATTTATAAGAGCAAATATACCTTTTTATGCATTTATATGCACAAATGGCAAAAAGTGCTAAAATATGCAATTGCATATGCACGTATGCAATTGCATATTATCCGCTGTCTACTAATAAATATTTTAAAAGAAATCAAGTGATTTAATTAATAATAACTATCGTTGTCTTTTGTTTTCTTTTTAATTCATAGTTGTGTTTCATTTTCAGTTCAACTACTGCATAAACTTACTATCAGATCCGGAGAGGGAAATCAAAGACTTATGAAGGTAAAATGACTTATCCACTGTTGACAGCTCCAATATCCTGAATGTTTTCTTCTTTTTTCTATCTAAGCTACTTTCTGCTCAGGTTATTCAACACAAAAGTACTGCATGGTCATTAAACATTTACGAACATCGTTGTCCAGAATCTGATGAATTAAATGTTGCACAACCATTAAAATATTTTCTCATTTATAGTTTTATGTTTTACATTTTCATTTATTTCTTACTATTTAAGTGAGAAATACTTTGATTTTTTTTTAAAGTTATCTATTTTATATTTGATCTAATAAAATGTATTACGCCTTTAAATTCCTAATCTTGTACAACATAGCTATGGAAATTAAAATTTTCTGAAGTAATTTCTTGTATGTAGTTAAGCAAATGACTAGTGAACACAAATGAGCTATTTTTACCTAATTTTTTTTTTTTTTAAGTGAAATTAACTTCTGAGTGTCGATACTTTCATAACTAACTAAAACATATGTGCATATGTTGGAACTTTTAATCTTCTCTTTCTTTTATGGAAATATTAAGACATCCATTGACTGTTAGAGTATCAAATTACTAGACAAATTTTTATAGAATATAACTTCTTTTTCATTGAGTAATATCTGATAATGCCTGTTAATTATCAAGAAAAGCAGCGGAATTTGCCTCTAATTTTCCAGCGTGGCCACCCACCCACCCACCTGGAATTATCAGGGAATTTTTTTATTCTGAAAAAAACTTACGAAAATCAAGGGAATTTGAATAGAAACTTAAGAAAATCTTGGAATTTTAAGGAAAATCTGGAGGGGTTTTTTTTTTTTTCGATTTTCTTTATTTCACCATTATCTTACCATCCATTATGCCCAGTTTTTTTTGGTTGGAAACTTATAGCCTAACAGTCTAAATATTGCCCATTTAGCAATATTTTACTTTCATCCTAGCTTATTCCAATATAACCCTGTTAAACTAGCTTGGAATGCCATATGAAAAACTTCCATGGTTGCTAAATGAACCTTTGACCTCTTTGGAGGCTATGCAGTTTATGAATGGCAAAGACTGTAGTGATGAGAGGAAATGGGGTATTTGCTCCCGATTATGAAAGCATTTCTTTTTTTTGGTTTTCTAGTGTGTGATCTAAATCCAATTACCATTCAAGCTCGTTCCAGTGCTTTGGGGGTATTTTTTTCTTCTTTTGATAACATTACTCAAATCGTTTTCGGATTTTTGATTTTATAAAGTTTTCCAAAAATTATTTTGTCATAATTTAACCACAATGAATTTTATTTCACAATCTTTATTTGCTGAAAGTTTCAGCTCTCTGATCCAATGAAATCGAACTATTTTTTTTCTTTGCCAAACCAACCCATCGCACATCTTTTTACAATTAATAGGAGCAAGACAGTTTTGTAGAGAAATCGTAACATGCGTTGCATTGATGCTAATTTTTGTGATTTCATTTTGGCCTTTTAAAACATATTTTATTTTAAAAAAGATTCCTTTAAGAACCAACTATATGTTGATTAATATTACTGTTTATTGGTAAATATTTGATTTTAGATTCAAAATTCGAATTGTGCATTCAATAATAATGTTGAAAGTTCGTAATTGGTGCTTGCATTCTAGAAATGATATTTCTGAAATTGTTTATCCTTTTTCCCTAAAAAGCTGACAAAATACTATGGAATTTAGGACAAACATGTTAAATGAGAATATTAAGAAAAATATTGATATTTGTTTATTAGGAAGAAGGAAAACAAAACATTATGTTAGTTTGTTCTACACTCTGCAGGTACGTTTCTAATTGTAAAAACAACAATTAACTAATCTAAACTAAAAAAGCGTGATGTTAGACTTAATTCTTTAAATATTTTGATACCAAATTTTTTTAAAAAATGAAATTTAAAGAATTTTAGGTAGTTTTTCTCTATAGAGTACATATCCTTGCCGGCCGAAGACTCCCCGTGTAGTAAATGGTGACTGATGCACGTTAAATCTATCGAGTCTCAAAGTCCTCCATGTTCCCATAACAAATCAATACCTCTGGGGGTACTGATCCAGGAGTTTCCTTGTCTTCTGGATTGGTTCAAAATTACAAGGCTACGGAGTTGAACATTAGTAGTCGTAAACCCATGAAATTGGGTCAGCTGTTCAACGACGGTTATAAAATAAAATATAAAGTACATAACAATAAATTTGACACATTTACATTTAAATGCTGATTATCTCTGTAAATAATAATGACAATTTAAAATAAACAACATTATACAGTAGGGAACCGATTATCCGGAACGATCGGGGCCATCGCTTTTCCGGATAACTGATTTTTCCGGTTTTCTGAATCGCTGCAAAAAGCCGTTTTTTTTTTTTTTTTTTTTTTTTTTTTTATTGTTAAACCCAACTAAAAAAAAAAAAAAATTTTTTTTGGAAATGTTACAAAGAAGAAAAAACGGTGGAGTAATACACTAATGATTATTTCCAAAATGATGGTAAGGTAAACATCTTTCAAAAAAGAAGGAAAAATCCTAAAATCTTATGAGGAAAAAAAAAAGTTTTTAAAAATGGCAGGATAATTTATCAAATTTCGTTCCGGTTTTTTGATTTCCGGATAACGGGTTCTGTACTGTATAAACATTTGACTTAAGATATTGGTTTAAAGAAAATGTTTTCAATGAATTTTGATTAAAGGGCACTGTTTGGACAAAATACTATGAAAAGGCTCTACATTTAAGTGGGAATCAATTGTTAAATTTCAAGGCTGAAATAAATTTAAAAATATACTGATGTGTAATTGCCTGAAATTATTTTCTTTTACTTAATATTGTATTTTCCAGAATTTTTGTGTCACTTTGTGTTTCTTTTTTTGGTACATTTTGTGCAAATACTATTTAAAGTAACACATTAAAACATTTTTTATTTAATAAAAACAACTTATCCTATAAGGTAAGCATAATATTCTCTCCACATCTATATTAATTTTTTAAAAATAATGTTGTATCAAAGCATAAAAATTTTAAAAAATAAAGAACAAGACAAACTAAGACAGACAGACTAAATTTAAATTGTTAAAACAATTCTAATCTAATTATTTTTTGAAGATTATATATTTAAAAAAATTACATTTTGAATTAAATACTTTAGAATATTGATACTTTTCTTGTGGGTTAAGTATCCATCCTACATTTTGTGAGAAGAAGAAAAAAACCTAAAAATTTTAAGATTTTTATCCTAGAAAAATCAGAGAAATTTGACACCTGGTTTGAGTGGCTGAACCTTTTTTATAACTTTGGGAATTATTAATGTGACTTTTTAAAATATCGAGTGTCTAAATTATGTTATTAAATTAGTAAATATCAAAATTGACCATTACCTAGATTATTGTTATTCCTTCTTAATTAAATGAATATCATATTGCATTCTTAGAATACTCGATTTTTGTAAAAGGTTTCTTAAATGTACAGTGCGTAAATTAAAATAACAGACCATCCATAATATCTTTTGATGTAATGGTCTGATCTTCACGGTCTAGGACTCAATCTGAATGGTACGAGGGGGTGACCTCAAATATGCTAATTATTTAGTGTATATAATATTTTTGAGTTATGAAATCTGACACAAAAACGTACTTTCTCTGAATAAACATACCTTTTTTTTTTTCTTTTTTTTTTTACAGATTTCGATTTCTCTCCCCCAAAATATAGGGAGTAGCCGCAACCTAGGAAATAGGGTCCCGATTGTTTGGTCTGGAGAGCAATTCTAAGTTTTGATCCCCAACGTTAATTTTACTTTTATCTTATTTCACCATATCTCAACTTTTCAAGCGAATTTAAACATTTTTGCACACAGTTATAAAATTCATTTATCCAAAGATAATTCCATGCAAAATGTAAATTTTAGTAAATATTTATTATTTTATCTAATAATAGTTGGGACATTTTTGAACTGTTAGGTATACAATTTTTTGCATCATCTTAAAGGATGTAATTTTACATAACAAAATACAAAATTTGAGCAAACTTGGTAGAATAGTTCCTGAGAAAATAAATTTTAAAAATACGATTTTTTTTTAAATTTGATTTTTCAGGAACTACTTAACCAATTTCGCTCAGATTTTGTATTTTGCCATGCAAATTAAAAACTTTTAAATTTCTTTAAAAAGTTGGAAAAAAAATTTCTTCCTAATAATTCAAAATATTGACTATTAAGTACAATGATAAAAATTTTATAATTGTGTGCAAAAAGTTTCCGATTTGCTTAAAAAATTCTTGAGATATGGTGAAATACTCAAAAAGCAGAAAAATTAATGTTAAAGAATCCTAACTTAGGACCGCTCTCCAGACAAATTAATGGCACCCTATTTCCTCAATTGCAGCTACCCCCTATATTTTGGGGGTGAAAGATCCAAATCTCTTGGAAAAAATATATGTTTATTCAGGGAAAGTACATTTTTGTGCCTAATTTTGTAACTTATAATATTGTCTGCTCTAATTAGTTAGCACGTTTGAGGTCACCCCTTTGAGTCCTTGAATATAATGATCCATTTATTTTTTGCGCACTGTACATGTTTATAAAAAAAAAATTAATGGCAATTTTTTTTTAAATGATTATTGGTATCTTATTAAAACCTGACATCTGTTGATGGTAAATTCAAACATTGAATAACTCACTTAATTTTCTTATCTCAATCTATTGAAAAAGAATATAGTTATGGCAAAACATTAATTTTCAGCTAGAAATTTAGATACATTCATCAAATTCTCGAGAAATGAAACATTTTATTTTAAATAATATTTTTAGTCATTGATATTAAATCTTTATTTCCTGTTATTAATTCATGATATAAAATTCTGTATTGTATATTTATTATTGAATTATTTTTTCTCTTCTGAAGGTGATTAAGAATCCTGTTACAGATCATTTACCTGTAGGATGTAAAAAAATAGCCACATCTTTTTCCTCAGAGAAAATTGTTCACCCTCGTGATCTAGTTCCTCCTGATGAACCTATTGTTATAGTTGTTGGTGCTATGGCTCACGGACAAGTAAGTATACACTTCCTGCAATGTGCCATAAACTCCCTCTTAACTGACCCCTAATTAACATGATGTCTCAAACTGCCTTACTGGGGCCCCTTAATAATTTCTTTCAATTTAGCATCAGACTTAGTTTTAAACATAGTTTGATTTTTTATCATGAGCGTGTTATTGAATTTGGTGCCATTTAAATGCCTTTAGCGGCTGTGCCATCAAACTTCAATCGATCATTTGTTGAATTGTCTGTGCTTAATTTATTTCATTCCATTTTAATGCTTCCAACTGCCCAATTTCTTATCTGTTCTGTTGCAATAGCAAAAAGTAGAACCTATTGCATCAACAATTTGAGTTCTTTTTTTCTCCCTGTATCTTTTTTGCTCTTATTTTCATATATAACATTTGAAATCTGGTTTAATGAGACTTTTGCTTAACCAGCTTTGCTCAATTTAGTTATATTTTTTAAATAAATCTGATAATATTTATTTTTGAATTTCTTCTTTTGTACCCATTTCTGTCCTGACCATATGTTACATTAACTTAGTTTTATTTACAATTATGTATTAAGTTCTCTAATTGATTTCAAGACAGGAACACTAATTTTATAACTTGTAAATAAAAGTTTTTATTTATTTTTGCATATTCTTGAACCTATTTAAATGCCATTTTGAAACCGTTTTTTAATATTCCTTGATTCCTCGAAAGTTACTGGATATTTTAATTCTCTTTGTACATTGAGTATTTCAAGAATCGAAATTTTTTTAAAACCAATACTAATTTTTGAAACCTGTAGTTATATTGATATCCAATAAACAATTCATAATTATTTCAAAATTTCAGTTATTTTTATGAAATTATTTAAGGAAAATGCAGTTAAAAAGTCGTAGCAAAGTTTGAAAACAAAGATTTCTTTCAATAACCATATTTTGATGAATTATGGAAAAGATATTTGATTAAAAAATTTTCAGTACTATTTCTCGTCGATTTTTCAATTCAAAACAAAATAATTAAATTCATGAATAAAGAATAGTGTTTCTGTTATAATCATTCTCAATGTTCATAATAGTTCTTTTTTGAAAATAATTATACAACATACCTGCTGGTTCAACTTTTTGACATAAGACCTATAATTGATTAAACTATTTTACTCTTAACGATAAATATTTTCAAAATAATTAGTAGTCTTAGGCTGATAAAGGTCAGTAAATTTACCAACGACTGAGGAACTTAGTCGAGGTCCTGGCAAAAGATTCTCAGGTGCCATGTGGGGGGGGGGTTGAAACTGTTGATTTAATATATCTCTATATAGGATATATTTTTCTGATATTCTTAATTTTAGAATTTTGAATAACATCTAAATAAAGATTTTTGTGTCAAACTCATTTTTTTTTTTTTTAAAGAACTAAAACTTTTTTATGTTCTCTGAAGCATAGCCAGTGTTAGTTAAAAAATCTTCTCATTCTTATGTTAAAAAGGAATGTCACTTATGCTGTTGGTATTTTTATTTATTTTTTATATAATATCTTCATTTTGAATGTTACTGGAACTGAGTTATAAAACAAAAAAGGAGATTCTAAAATATTTCTGAAATTTGTATTGAATTATAAGGTAAATGTTGTTAAAGAATTATAAACCTCGCGCAATATTTCTTAATATATTATCTTTTAACTTGCTTAAATAAATTATTTAATTACATAAAACTGTAAAATGCATGGCATGGTTTTTCTATTACATTATATACTTTTTATTGCTGAACAAGTGATTGAAAATTTCACCTTTAATTTCAGGTCACTGCAGATTATGCAGAAGAAACAGTTTCGATTAGTGGTTACCCTCTTTCAGCTGCATTAACTTGCTCTAAATTTTGTTCTGCATTTGAAGAAGTTTGGGGAGTTCAGTAGCATTCATTTTTTTCTCAATTCTGTAAATATGTTGAATAAATTGGTTTTTATTTATTTTTTAAGTTTGTTTCAGTTAATATTCTAATTGAAAAGCTTGATCGCGGAAGAGATTATTTTAAGTGACATTTTTGTGAATTTAGGAACATCAACTGGAAAAAAAAACAATGATGCACAATTATCAGTTAAAAGGAGCTGCACAGTAATTATCGATTAAACACTTTTCTCGTAAGTATTATCAATTATTAGTAATTACCAATTAAACACATTCTTAAAACACCTAGTTTTGTTGAAATTACCAATAGCTAAGAGTTTCCTCTTATCAATTTGAGGCACTAAAACTGTACCGCTCCCCCCCCCCCTTCAACTTAAAAATCTGTTGTGGGGGGTTACATTATATAAGCAATATTTTGTGTATCCCCTTCTGATAGGCCACTTTTTATGCATCTGTTAAAAAAGATAACTTATTTTTTTTATCTACTTCATTAGAACAGGAATCAATAAAAGGGTTTCTTACCTTGTTCTTCTACCCGGGTCGGTAGGTACCTAAATAAATCAAATCAGTGACCACAAACTCAAAGTACTCCTACGAAATGGTTAACATGTGTATATTAACAGCACTAAACGCTACAAAAACAACATGTCTCCAACGGCAGTAACATTATCAAACTAACTAAAAAAATGTTCTTAGAGAGTTCTAAATCTCGTGGTGTTTTCTAGCAAAGAAAAATGGTATTCTGTTTTTTAACACTCCCCTTTTTGAGTTTTGGGGCATGTTGAACCGAATCTCAATACTTCATTGTCCAAATCTGGATGGTGGGCGAACAACACGTCCAACTCTGGTAGTGGCAGGAACTGAATCAGGAATGTCTGATGATATTCTTTCTGGCTCATCTTTGGAAGTCTCTGGCAGCTGATCTTTGCTGCTGAGATTCTCCTCGTCCAGTTCTAATGGGCAGAGATTTTGAATTGGTCTGATCAGAATTCCGGATTTGGTCTTAACTTTGGCTCTTCTGATCAGTCCATCTTTACTTGTGTAAACCGAGAGTATTCTTCCCAAGGGCCAATGTATTCTTTTGAGATTATCATTCCAAATCAAGATGATATCTCCAACTTTAGGATGGTATGTTGGTTTTCGAACTGTCAGTCTATGATGTAGCTGACTCAGATATTCACTACGGAATCTTGCTCGTAAATCTGTCATCAGTCTTCTTCTATACGCAAGTCTTTCGTTTAATTCCGTCTTGTCAGTTAGCTTTAATCTATCCAAGTCCGTACTACTACTTGTACGAGTGTCTTTCAGAAATAAATCAGGTGTTAAAGGACATGAATCATCGGGATCATCGCTAACATATGTTAAGAGTCTTGAATTGAGTTGGCTTTCACAATCACACAAAACAGTTTCAATTTCCTGGTAATTTAAGGATGTATGACCTAGGACCTTCCTCAAAATTCTTTTCAAAAGTCCTATTAACCTCTCAAAAAATCCTCCCCACCATGGAGCAGTCGGAGGTAGGAATCTCCATAAAATTGGAGAAAAAGTTGTCTTTAGTCTTTCTAGGTTGATATTCTCCAGAGAGTTGTTAGTTCCAATAAAATTAGTCCCATTGTCGGAGTAGATAATTGACGGACGTCCTCTGCGTGCGATAAATCTTCTTAAGGCAAGTATGAAATTATCTGTTGAAAGTGATGTCAATAGTTCTAAGTGTCAGGGCCGTTTTATCCATTAGGAATTGTAGGCAACTGCCTAGGGGCCCTGTGCTACCGAGAAAAAAATTGACAAAGTTTCTTAAACAGTAAAAATTTAATTTGAAATTTCAATGACGATTGTCTTGCTCTGTACATTACATCGACGCTATTTTAGTACATTTCTGAACGCATTCCAAATTAGATATTAATATTATGGTAGTTCATATATAACGCAGTAATATAATCGCAAGCAATTTTATCGCGGTAATTTTAACGCCGACTAATCAGATGGCTATACAGCAAGAGCAGCTTTTTAACACAACACGCTTAAAAACGCGCAAAATTCTACGTTGTGAATGCACACTTACTGTTCTGGTACCTACCATAGGTATGTATATTCTATGGCCAAGCTACCAAAGAGTATGTAAAAATAAGGTTGGCAGTACTGGTTCTTTCGTCGCATGACTGGGGAATTTCCCGATCCGCTAAATACATACGTTGTATTGTGTCATAGACAACATTTTTAATGTAATCGTTGAATTTTCACTTCGTGCAACTTGTTTGCGAGTTTTATGGCTGTGAATGAAAAGAGAGTTTTTCAGTTTGTGTTTCAAAACTTACGAATTTAGAGCCAAGTATTGGATATTTATTTATAAGGACTGCAGAAGTGCTTCGGGCTTCTAGAAAATCGGTAAAACGACGAGTAAAAATCCGTGTAGTGTAAACTGAAGTTAAAATTACTATACGTAAGTTTTATTATTTTTTACATATTTTATTACCTAATGCAGGACTTGACAAATGTGAAGTGCCGTTTTATTATTCAATTACTTACATATTTTATTTAATTTCAACGTTATCATATATTATTAGTTTGGGTGTTTATTATTAAGCAGGAAATTCAATATGTTTGAGCTTTTAAGGTGAAAATTTCATTTCCGTTTTAAACCGAAAGATTATTTTTTTCAGGAACAAAATGTCGGAGGTACCCGTAAAGAAAAAGCACCAAAGTTCTTCAGAAAAACGTAAAAAGCGGCAAGAGCAACAAAATAAGCTTAATGAACAATTAAAGAAGACACAAAACCTTTTCAAACTCGGATTTAGTCGCGAATCAAAGGAATATCAACCTCATGACTCTCCAAGTACGTCTTCTGCCAGCCGCACGATGGTAGTAGACCAAGTAGAGGTTCCTTGCGAGCCTTTTGAACAGATTGGCCAGGATCAAGAAACAGCTACGTTAGTCGGTGCAGAGGAAAGTGAGGCCGAGACAGAGGTCATACATCAAAACGTAGTTCATTTAGGGGTAGAATACCAGAATGACATTGGCTTATGGCAAAATATTACCAACGAAATGCAAGATTTTTGGTGTACTAGAGACCCTAACGAATGTCAACACTTTGAGTGTGATTTTTCTGCTTCAAGCCGACAGTAAAAGATTTTTTTCTCAGTCTATGTTTTTTCGGAAACACATAAGTGGTGGTAAAATTAAACGTGAGTGGCTCATGTATTCTCCGTCTACTGGAAAGGTATACTGTTTTCCATGTATCCTTTTTGGCGAAGCTCAAAACCGTTCACACTTTCAAACTGGATTTTCTGATTGGAAAAATGCGTTGCACCGAATTCAATCGCATGAGAATAATGCAACTCACCGAGTATGTGTACAGACACTGATTAGTAGACGGCGCACTCACGGACGAATCGACACTTCTTTGGAGGTTACATTTAATAAAGAAAGAGAATATTGGAAGAAAGTTTTAGAAAGAATGGTATCAGTGATAAAATTTTTGGATTAGCATTTCGTGGTGACAATGAAATTCTCGGTTCTCAACATAATGGCAACTATTTGGGAATTTTAGAGTTAATCGCTGAGTACGATCCGTTTCTTAATTCGCATTTAGCAAAATATGGTAATGGAGGCAAAGGAAAACAATCGTATTTGTCTGCAACGATTTGCGAGGAACTTATTGAAATATTGAGAAATAAGGTTTTAAAATATATTGTTAATGAAATCATTGAAGCCAAATACTTCTCAATAAGTGTCGATTCGACACCAGATATATGATCAGTTGACTGTAGTGCTGAGACATGTTACGTCGAACGGAGAAGTGGCTGAACGTTTCCTTAAATTTCTTCTCATACAGAGCCACAAAGGGGAAGAACTAGCCACCGAGATATTAAATATTTTAAGCCAATATAACATTGATGTAAGAAATTTAAGAGGTCAGTCTTACGATAATGCGTCAAATATGTCTGGTTGTTACAATGGTCTCCAGGCGCATATTAAGAGAATAAATCACCTCGCACACTACGTTCCCTGTGCAGCGCACTCACTGAATTTGATTGGAGTACGTGCAGCGGAAAGCTGCGTGGGAGCAATCTCATTCTTCGGATTCGTACAGGCACTATACAGCTTTTTTTCGGCATCAACTCATCGCTGGGGAATTATGCTCAAACACCTTGAAAAAGGTGATGAACGTAAGCAAGTTCCGTCATTGGTTCTGAAAAGAGTATCCGATACAAGATGGTGTGCAAGGGCCGATGCTACTAAGGCTTTGGCAAATTGTTACAACAGTTTTCAGAAAGCTTTGCAGTCTATTGCTGGCGTTGAGACTCAGACATCACAAGCGATTCACGAGGCGAAATGTCTATTGAATGACTTGGCAAAAAAAGAAAATGCTGTAATGGCCGTATTTTGGGCTACCATACTAGATCGGATCAATGGTGTCAGCAAATCTTTACAAAAGAAAACAATTGAACTTCAAACGGCAGTCAATCTTTTAAAATCGCTTTTAGATTTTTTAATTTCACAGAGAGAATCATTTGACGACTACGAGACTAAGGCAAATGAGAAAACTGATACTCTATACAGTGATGAGAATCAGCGTGTGTGAAAAAGGAAAAGGCATCACGATGACGGACCTGCAAAAGAAGTTGTGCTCAGAGGAAAAGAGAAATTAAAAGTTGATACATATTTGCCAGTACTAGACATGCTGTGTACAGAACTGTCGCGGCGCCTAGAAGCTTACCGGGAAATAAATTATCTGTTTGGGTTTCTAACAGATTTCTCGACAAAATCCGACGCTGAAATTAGACAGGCTTGCACAAAGTTTAAGGAACATTATTTCGAGGACATTGAGCCTGAGTTTATTGACGAAATGGTTCAGTATAAATACTTCATCTTACAATTAGAAGACGTCGGAAAAAAATTGTGCCTGCCGAAGAGTCTTACAAACTGATTATTGGTAACATGGCACAATCAACTTTCCCGAATGTAATGACAGCTTTGCAAATATATAGAAGTCTAATGATTACAAACGCCACTGGTGAACGAAACTTTTCCAAATTGAAATTAATTAAAAACTGCCTTCGTTCAACTATGTCTCAAAACCGTTTAAATTCATTGGCCATAATGGCAATTGAAAATGATGTATTGGAAAAGGTTAACTTTCTGGATGTCTTGAACGATTTTGTAACAGAAAAAGTTAGAAGAGTTAATATTTAAGCTTATTGTATGATTTTTTTTTTAAATGCATATATTAATTACTTATATTCTTTCCCTTTGATTCAATATTTTTATTGAATAATGTGATAATATACCTATGTAGTAAAAAACAGCGTAATTATGAATAAAGTGTTGTGTTAGCGAAAAAATATATTAGGAAGTTAGAAAACGGTAGGGGGGGCCGAGACGAGCATTGCCTAGGGGCCGCGACATGCATAAGCCGGCCCTGGGCCATGTAAGATATGCAATTTAATCACTGCAGGTGCAAATAATTTAATACACGATTTAAAACGCAAAATCATACTCTTTTTTCTTACTAAACATTCCTTCAGATGTTTGACTTTATAGCTTGAGACGAATAACAAAACATTTCTAACAGTGTTATTGATAAAGATGTTGAGCCATAAATACTAAATAAAAAGACTCATTCTTGTATTGATATCTTTGTTAATGAATATATTCGGACTTCTCTTTTTGAATTAAAATTTGCCTGGTTTTTGGGAAAGTACTGCACAATTTTCTCAGATTTTTTTGTCCACTCTTTTTGGAAAGCTTATTACGTGTAAAATAATAAATTATAACTACAGTGGATACGCAATGCATACGTATCGTCAGACGTAATTTTCATCCTAAAGCCTTTGATACATCAGATACTGTTCAAGCAATTTCCAGTTCGCTTCTATGTAATAAAATAATAATAAATTCGAACTCATTGAACTTCATAGCTTCGAATTTGGAAAAATCATTTTAACACATTATTTTACCCAATGTAAGATTTCTAAAAATGCAGAAAAGGAAAAGTTACGTTAAAAATACATCAGGGAATAGAAATCTTAAATACATATTTAATATCATAATAAACAAATATCTGTCTAAGAAATGGGTAAATAAAAAATGTTTTATAAAAATAAATAAACTTACCTTCCTCTCTCCTTTGTCATTGTCTAAAAATGAGAAAAAACTGTTTCTCCCCCCTCTCTATTATAAAATAGCGGCTGACTTTGAAGATTTTATTTGTTTATTTATTTTAACGAAAAAAACATCTTAAAATTTCCTTTAAAGAAATGTAAGGTCAAGAGGAATTTAAAAAAAGTTACACAAAAGTGAAAGAAATGTTTCTTATGAAACTCGTCTCTTAAAGAAAAGATTAATGTGTCATTAAATATTATTGTTTGAAGTTTTTGATTATTGGAATATGTCTCACAAAAGTGGGATACTAATTTCTTTTATTTTGTTAAACAATCTTTAATGTTACGAGATGTTTAAAATATGACTTTTAACATTATTGAAAAGAAAGCTCATTCGTTTTTACGGGACGTGGTGTAACGCATCATGATACTTGTCGCCTCTAACACATGATATATGAAAATGAAAAAAAAATTAGAGATAGTAATAATTTCTGTTATATATGTCAGGAACAATGATAATTACCATACTAGCGACTTGGTTACATTTAAAACGAAACATAGGACTCAATGCGCTTTTTTATTTTTATTTATTTATTCATTTTAAATATTACGACAGTTTCAGAATTGAAAATATTCATTAAAGATTCGGGGATTTTTTTGCAAATTTTCATAAGATCATGTGTTTTGTGCTTTTATAAGATCATGTAACACAAATATTAAAACACAAAATTCTCTTTGCAATATTTAGTAATAATTTTAATTAAATCTTTCGATTTTAGTTCTAATCTTAAACTCTAAGCTGGAATTTAATTTTATGACTGGGAAGAGCATTGACCTGATGTCGTATTCTGATGCATTGATTGTATTGACTTGTTTGGAGTTCTCTCAGAAATGTTTTTTATTTTCAATTTCTTAGTAAAAAAAAATATAATAATTAAATAGATAAATGAAATTTTTTCTTTTACTGATTTGATTTAAATTTTAACAAAATCTTTTTATCGTGTTTAAAGTTATAGTTTTTTTTAAAATTAAACTCCAAATTTATAATTGAAATACGTGCAATGGAAACTAGTATTATACTTGCGAACAACTTTTTTTCAAGTTTAAGTGTTTTGTTTATTATGATGAAAGTTGACATTGTTGACAATGTAATTTTCTCTATAAATCAACTACAGATATTTCTTAAGATGCAAGCAATCATGATGGATAAAACAAATCAATTAGGTTAAAAATAACATAAATGCTAAAGAACAAATAAAAGCAGCAAAAGTTCTCTTAGAGCCCTAAAATGTAAATTATATTTTACTTTTATATATACTAAAGTGCAGGTTGGTATAATCAAACTGAAGAAACAAAGAAACACTGTATTGACTTATGTCAAGACACTGTAACTAATTTTATAATACATGTTTATTTAAGTTTTTATAACTATATACAAGAATATCTGAAATATATTTCTTATTAACAAAATAGTTCACCATTGCCTTCTAAGGATAAATTATTTTAAATGTATAATTTGCTTTTGTAGATCCATTTACTAAGATATTCCCCAATTAATTATTCTTTATGTAAAAATATTGATTTTTCTGTGAAGATTTTCTTATTTATTTTGAATCTACCATTCCTTTTTTTTTCTTATACTATTATATAATATCTTATTTAGTAATGTTATAAGAAATGGCTCCTTTTTTAGTCGCATAATTATGAAATAAGACTTGGTTCTTGTACTTTATCACTTTTGAAATTGCATTTAAAGAAAACAATGTTGAAGTAAAGTGCTGCGTATGATAATGAAATATATATAAATATTTTTTTAAAACTTTTGAAACTGCAAATAAATGAATAAAATAATAAGGTTAAAGTAAAGCATTTTAAATGTATTAATTGCTTTCTCATGTCTATTCCTTGAGATCTATTTTAATTTATTATTTGCGTAAAAGTATCGATTCCTTTGTGAATTTCTTATATATATTTCCAATTGAAAATTATCACCTTTTTCTGATTAAATGTTTAATTTGACTGTACTGTTTATTTTGAATGTGTAAAGTGTTTCCTTAACTCATTTCTCAAATCTATCATAGTTCATTATCAGCGTAATAATATGTATTCCATTGTGAAGAATTTTTATTATGCATTTGGAATAAGAAAATTTAATCTATTCTTTTCGTCCTAATTACGCATCTGAAATGCTGAATTTAGCGATAAAAGCAATAAGTAATGTATTGCAATAAAAATACGCATTATAAAATTTCGTTACATTTGAAATTGCAAACTTTTAAGGTAATTGCCATAAGATGTTCATCCTAATTAAAAAATAATAAAAATAAGGTTAAAGTAAAACATTTAAATGTCTAAGCTTTCTTAGAAACGTTTTCCTCAGATCCATCTTAAATGCATTTTGTATTGAAAAATGTATAGTTCATTTAAATCTTCATCCTATTGAAAAATGAATAACATTTTTAAATTAAATATGAATTATATTTCAGAAACAAAGAAAAGAAACTGTGGTGCATTATAAGACTTTTTAAAATTATTATTCAAATGTAATCTCATTAATTTTGAGTCAAACAGATTTTTTTTAAAAAAAAGAATAAAAGGATTAATAACTTTAGATAAAAGACGTTTACAAAACGTGTGTTTTATCTTTAGGAACTGACACCGTGAGTACGTTATTCAAGAACTAATATTTTGTACACGTTATTTAAGAACAAGAAATCGGAACCGGTTACTTAATAACTGATATATCTTAACCGATAAGTTCTAAGGAGTAGTCAGGGAATTTGAGCCAATGAGAAGGAAGAGGCGTAAACGTCATGATTCGAGGAAAACTGGTTCCCTCCGCCAGAAACGTTATCTTCCTTCCTCGGCGACTCTTCGCCAACTTGCCTTAGTTATGATGATATCCCCTCAAATTTAATTTAAAAATAAATTACTTTCAATGAGTCATGTTTAACTACCATCAGATTTTTTTTTTACTATTTTAACTATTAACAGCATTTTTAATAAAAATCTAACTGGCATACAATAAAGGTACTTTTAAGGTAGCTGAGAAATCCTCATAAATTTTTGAAATTTTTAAAAATAATAAATGACTTATTCTCTTTTAAAATTATTGCTTTAACGGATACAGCATTGTGAACACAACTAGTCTGGTGCAAAAGTGTGACTACCAGACTAAAAGCATTGCCTTGTTCCTGGGAAGAAGTACTCAAAAACATTAGTTTCTTCTTTGGAAGGGGGAAGTTAATTTTCTATATAAAGAGGGTGTAAACACTGAATCAGTTTCTTGAGTGCAAATTTCATATATTTGTGTGCATCTTTTTAATCACTAATAGAGTGTGAATGAATTCTGAGTTAAAAACCAGAAATAATAAACTAATATAAATAAGTAACAGTAGATTCATTTTATTTTTACATTCATTAGCCAACATATTGCACTGGTTAAGCAAACACAACAGATACATAGAATTAATATCGCATAAGAACTTTCATACTGGCACACAAAAGCACACGTGGAGGGATTCTAACTAAACACATGAAAAATATTTTATGTACACAAATTAGTTTAAAAGGTAATGAAACAAAATTTTTAATAATATTGCTGACTTTTTATGTTGGATAAACCATGTCTTGTTTTAAAAAGAAATACTGCAATTATATGAGCTATAGAATAACACAATTCAATATGTCAAATTAACACAAGCACTTTTTTAAAATTTATTTTCAATAATTAATTTTTATTATTATTTTTTAACATTAATTTTTAAATTTAAATGTCATTTCAAAAATTGCTGGACCTAAGAAATATGAGTAGAATACAAAATTTTCATTTTCTACCATTTTTACTTAAATAATTAAACCACAATAAACATATTTAATTATCAACATGTTTCAGTTCAGTAAATTAATAAAGATTTGAAATTTAGATATTCATAATATTCTACAAAAATGAAATTAATTAATGTGATTTTTTTTTCTTCCTTTTTTTACATAACACAATAAATACGTAAAAATTGCACTAATTCTATTCAACAGATGTGAACAAAAATATTTTATAATCTTTTAAACAAATAACAATTCCTAATGTTTTAAAATAACAAAATTTTAATTATAATTACCAAAAAAAGCTATTGCATCATTGGTAATTTTCTTAATGAAAAAAAAAGAGTATTTAGAATAGTTAAAATTAAACAAAAACACGTTTTATATTTCTTTTTTTTAACCTAGAAAAAATCTAATATCTGATTTAGAGCTGGGTAAAATTATGAAATGTCATTATTATTAAATCATTGTGATAATGATATTTTAAAAATTCTCACGATATATTTAAAATACTGTCTTAGGAAAAATACTAAAATACCATAATTATCAACACTGGTAATATAAAATTATCAAATGCGATTAATAATGAATACAATAATTTTTAAAGAATGATGGCACATTTCTTTAGAGTAATGAAAATTTCAAAACAATGTAAAAATTGGAAAAACAATCCAATATATAAGGAAATATAGAAATTTTCTAATTACATATTTTGATATTAAAATTTAACCAGAACTATTCTGTACATGAAATAAAAGGCAATAATATACAAGAGTTCTTAACTACTTCAAACACTAACATTTTAAATTAAGTAAGTCGACTATATGAATATTAGGTATTAAAATTGCAAAATTTTTTAAAAAATAAAATTTTTATTTCACCAATATCAAAATATTTATTAATCAAAAGAAAAGATGGCACAAATCAATTAATCAAGAGAAAAGATAATAAGAAAAAAACTAGAGGTAAAACGGAGCTCTGTTTTGATTTAGAAATCCTAATACTTATGATTTTACTACTACAGAGAACAATTACTATAAACTTGGTCTGTTAATTATTACAACTAAGTGCGAAAAATTAATGAATACACGGTGCTTGCACAGCAATGAAAACTATTTCATACACATATTTACAAGTAATCTTACAAAAACATCTATATGTATTAATAAAGAGTTTTTTGAAATGATATTCTTTGGACCACCATCTTAATTTGTTTTTCATTTATAAAGCTCAATTTGCCTGACTTTCTAAGCATAATACAGTTGAATAAAAAGATGAGAAAGTTTAGGAACTTAAATAATAATTCATCTCTAGTTACATAGAAAACAATAAATAAACGAGAGAGAAAAATGAGAATCAAAACTTTTATAACAATTAATATTCAGTTTATGAAAAGTTTAAAAAACTTGCTGTGCACAAAATGTTGCATTAAAGTTATATTTGGATGATTAAAAAGTGGATATAATTTAATAATGTTGAACTGATACTTTTAATACTTAGAGGAAAAACAAAGTTTATTTAAGTTAGCATTTTACAAAATAATAAAATAAAGTTTAAAACAATGTATAAAAATGATATTGTTTGAAATTTTATTATCGTTATGACAGAAAAAAATCCACATTTAAATGGCACAAAACATCCATCAGATGATGAAATAAATTATACAGAATGAAAATCAGAATAATTCTGAATGTGGCATAAGGATATGATATTTTAATAAATCAATAATTAACAGGTAATACACAATTTTGGCAGTATACAGAATAATATCATTTCAGATAAAAAGTTATTTAATATGGGATGACCATATACACTGTATAAAAGAAAGTTAAAAATGGCACAATTCTTACCAGAACTGTAAAAACAGATTTTATTATATCTACAACTAAATATACAAACTCTATAATCTAAATATTTACACATAGACTACTTCTAGAATCAGAAAATTCACAAGAAAAGAGATGTTATGTTTTTTTTTTTCCCCTGAACTTATGCACTTGCTTTTTCTATTTTCTACTGTCATGATAGGAAATATTATAATCACAATTATTAATATTCTCAAGTTTTACACACATGAGCGACAAAATGTTCTATAAGTGAAAGAAAACGATTAAATGTCTTAGATTAGCATCAATTTCAAATTTTTGTTCATTAACTTTTCCCCGCCAGCAGAATGATTTAAGTGATAATATTGTTCATCTTTTCATTGACAACCCAATAAAATAATGCAATGTGTTGAATTAAAATTCCTTCCAAAGGGAATATATAGGGAAAATTTTACTGGCCAGACAAGGTGTTATTTATAAGTAAGGAGGTCATATTTCCCCAAAATTTATATTTGTGACTATTCCAAGCATTTTAATTCTTTCTTCTCATGAGATATTTTGGGTATTTCAACTTTTATTAAAAATGTACAGTTAGAGTTGGGCACATTTTCAGTTTATTAGCAGGAAGAATGTTATCTTGAAGTAAACAATACATAATTGCAAAAGTTTGTTGAGATGTATTATGAGAAACACCGATGATTCATAAAAATTATTGTAACAAATTTTGAATATTCTAGAAATAATCTAAAAATGAATTTGTAATTCCATATGGTAAGAAAAATCAAAAGTTTATAATGATAATTTTAGAGATCAAAAAATAGAAATTTTGCCACTCCATTATCCACATTTATACCTTTCATTCATGCAAGCCACCACCCATTTCGCTGAAAATAAGAACAAGTATACCTGAAGATAGATATTTATATATTACATACAAAATTTTTATCAACTAGAGTAAATAGTATGTACATCAAATTCTAATAAAGACATATACTTTTACATCAGGAAATTTAAATAATGTTTATTCATTATTATTTTCTTGAATGATCGATTAAAAATAAGATTTTTTTTAAACTTTTAACTCCAGATAAATAACACAGATATTAAATGTTTCTGTTATTATGCGAAACATAAATATTTCCTTTCAGCTAATATTTTTTTTACAAAATTTGTAAAACTGAAAAATAACCTTTAGCCTGGTCATCCCATATTAATTAATAAAATTTACAGATTTTTTTTTCCTTTGGTAAAATGTCAATGTTCAGAATTTTTAGGACTTCGAACATATCTTGATCCTGCATTACTGCTGTACATATTTCCAGGACAAGCCAATGCATGATCAGGCCATCTCATGTTCTGAAAAAGAAAGCAAATTTGTACTATTTTGTCTGTTATAAAAACTTAATGTTTTTTTTTAAATGAGTGTCAGTAATTTGCTGATTTGTTTTTATTCAACCCTCTTGACAGAATATTTTGGTAGGTTCCATAGGAAAATCCCTGATTTTCCAAAAGGATGGCTAACAATCTGACATGTTAAGTAACCAACAAATCTGAAAAAAAAGTTGTTTTTATTAAAGTATAGTATAACCTGGATCACCTAGGCCTATGGCTTAAATCTTTATTAAGCAAAATCGATTTCCAATTTAATATAATATCCATTAGATAACAAAGTAAGTCAAGAATGCCACTAATGCCCTATAGTAGGCCTGATTAAATCTGTGGTTTCAAAATGACTGGTGTATTATGTGCATCATCATCTAACCATGGCCAAACTACTTAGTCTCAGATGAATGTAAGTGTACTTATGTGCAAGTAAGCTGCTCAACTCTGTAATTTAAAGTTCTTTTGAATGTGACCCTACTATGATTTGCTATACAACAATGACCAAGTGATAAATTATGATATAATGGGAAATAATAATCCCTTAATAAGCAATATGCTTATTCTAAAATTACATCATGGTGTAAGTAGTGCCAAAAATTAAAAATCTCAATTGATTGATATCTAAATAAATCCTAATTTTCATAGCTGATAAATTTAATTGGGTGGTTATAATGATGGACATCTATAAGCCAAAAATTTCAATTATCTAAAGTAGATTTGGCCACATTTATATTTAGCTAATCCAGATTCTACTGTAACTCATAACATCCATTAATATTTATCTTTGTTTTTATTTTAGCTAAAATCCATAATTGAATATTAATAAAATTGTATTGATGGGAATAAGAGTAACACAAAAATGAAAAGAAAAACCACTGAAAAGGACACCAAAACCAAATAAAGCATGATCATGCTGAAGAGTTTACAAGCAAAGAATAAATGGCCTATAATTAATTAGGTTTTTTTTTCCTACAAGAAAAGTAATGTGCTACTGTTTGTTTCTAGCTTAAGAACAAAATCACATAGAAAGCTCTAACATAAATTATAAGAGCTCATTTAAACTTCTACCACACTGTTAAAATAAGGGATAACTTATTAGATATCATTATAGTTTGCATTCCACACCAAAAAGAAGAAAAAAAGTTAATAGTTTAAACCTAAGACAAAGTAATGTGAGACAAAACTTTGAAAACAAATTAACAGTTTCATTTATCAGAAAATTCCTTATAGTTAAGTAAATACTCAACTAAATCAGTTTTATAAAACTAAACAATAAATTAATAAAATAATTTATCATTTCTAAGATCAAGATATTAACCTCATAAAACAACTATGCCCATATTAACATGAAAGTGCTGTGGTCAATACTTGGCAATTCCACAAATTAGGCTATGGCCTACAGCTTAAAAATAATTCCCATGTTCCAATCTTACATAATTAAAAGTCAGTTGTAGAACTTAAAATTAAATTTGAGAAATACACTTTTGCACTGTGCACTTGGCAAAAGTTTGTAATAAGCAGGGATGAGATTGGCCAAAAGGCAAAAACGCTGAATTTTCACGCCAGTAAATCTTACGTAAATTATAACAAAACTATCAATAACATACTCTCACCCAGTTTCGCTGATGTTGTAATGCCTATATATAGTAAGAATCGTCGATAGAAAAACTGCCGCATTTATAGTAACTAATTCAAGAAAAAAAACTTACTTTTTACAAGAATCGCGATGAAGGATTTTAAAATCACGTGAATATAAATCCTGATATTGAAATCACATGAATGAATCTTGATATTGGATTTCAAAAATGTGAAAATACAAATCATGATGAGTAATTTTCAGATCGCGTAAATACGAACTACGATGCATAGAGTAGGAGTTTTTAAAAAAATTTATGTGAAGGATGTTGTTTAGTGGGTGATTGCGTCATGGGCAAAAGTAACACCCGGTGTAAATTTTGAGATAAAATGTTGAAAAATGATATTACAGTTAGCGAACACGTCATTAATGAAGAAGATTTGCCTCGACAATGCGCTACATTGACGATGGGACGATATTGCTGCGTGATAAAAGGAGCAGCGTGTTTCAACAACAACATTAGATAATTATTTCTAAGTAGTACAATTAACTCGATGCAGTAAATGTACCATGATTCTCTAATGTAAGTAAATTTTCTTAGAATGTAACATATTTTCAATTAATTTAAAAATTGTTTTGTTTCTATTAATTTATATATTTTTCAATTTTCATAATTCAAGCTTTCGAAACTTCGCTTGGTCCCGCCCACCTAGAATTATCGAGACTCAACTGTATATCAATTCCCTCAGACAATCGGAAACTAAATATAAACTTAAAGAGACCTAAAAAAAACTTTCACCTTCTGATATTATAAATACTGTTTAGTTTCAAAATTAAAATTCTATTTGCCTTCAAGGAATAAAAAATTATATTAATTTCTGGAATTGAAGTGCATCGTTTCAACACTGCACAAGTTTCAATGCACTTCAATTCCGAAAATCAATGATATTTGAAATGATTCAATTAAAGAAACTTCTTTTTTTTTTCAGAAGTTAATAAATAACATATTTTAGTTGAAGCAAAATATACCATAGGGAAGTTACATTACACACTTGATTTCTTAAGATTATTTTGATATTTTTACTTAAACTACTTTATTTCTAATTCAAGCCCTTTAAAACTTATGTTCAAGAATAACTGAATAAATTTAAAATTCAGCCAAATTAAGATCCCTTTGACTAAAGATACAGGTAAACAAATTTTGATATATCTAACCTGGCATTGTGCACTGCAATACCAATGTTCTCTGCATCCGGAACAAAGGAACTTGGCATCAGATATACCACACCCCATGCATCTATACGGACTGCCATTAGGAGACATCATCCCTGGTGGTATGCTCGGGGCAGTGTTTTGCCCCCCATATGTGACTAATGATGAATAGGACATTGCTCGCCGTTCCTTGAAACAAATAATTAAAAATAAGTACTAAAGCCATCATTGTAGAAAAAATGGTGCCTTTCCATTCATTTTGAAAGCAAGCAGTTATAATATTCTTGTATTAAAAATCGGAATTAAGAAAAATTTTCCTCTATTAGTAAATTACTGTAACATTTAAAATAGTTTAAGTGACTCTAAGAGCAAAAAAATAGTTTTAAAAAGTTATATGTAAAAAAATATGTATATAACATGCTACATAATGAGTTATTTATTTTTATTATTATTTTAGAAAATTATTTATCCTAAATTTTACTTTATATTATATTTAACGATCTTTAAAGTACTTATTTTATTTAATTTACATTAAGGAGCCACACATTCACTTTATGAATTAATTAAACTTTTCTAATGTAATTAACTTTCATAATTTTAATATTTTGTACTATTTTAATAAGCAACACTGAAAAACAGTCATGATATATTATTGTTCTTATTTACATTAGGTTTTGAATCACTTCTGCAATTGTTTTAAGGCTAAGCAAATTTCAGAAAGACAAATTGCATAACAAAAAGTTGTTAAAAAAGATTTCGCAACTGTCAACCCAATAAAAAAGCATATTAATAAGTTAAATTAATTTCTAACACTTATTAGAAGCCACATATTTTAACATTAACCAATAATTTTTCTGAAAATTCAAAATCAGGCAAAGTTCTTTTGGGATTGTTATTGGAGCTTCAAAAAACCTCTTAACATATATTAAATTTAAACTATGACCATCACATTTATTTTCCCACTTATATTGTAGTCAGTATTTTGGACAGATGAAAATATAAAATATTTTTTAACCATATAAACTAACCAGCAAATTAATATTTCAAAACTAGGCACAGAATCTAATTAGAAAACTACAAGAATTGAAGTTGTAACATTCATGTTTAGGAGAGAATTGAGAAAAAAAGTTTCATGCAAGCAGTAAAAATGTTAAAAGCTTAAAAATGAAAATATAAGAAAAAATATATGTTATAAGTATAAGAATACAAACATTAAACAATAAAATTTGTTAAGGAATCATACAAATTTAAAGACAAATATGTAATATTTCTCTAAACATTTACCAAGGTAACAAAATGATTAATGTAACATTGTTCACAAAAGTTTACAACACTTTTGTGTATTTCATTAAAAATAATTAAAATAAGATAAGCAATTTTTAACACAAAATTTAAGTATAAGTTTTTGTTACGAGATAACTCAAACTGATCAAATAAAGTAATAAAGAGAAAAAATTATATGAAATTGTAGAAGCATCGTTCATCTTTCAAAATAGTGGATAATGCAAAATAAAACATACTTCTTCTTTCTTGCCTATATATTTTTGGTCAAAATTTGCTTTCACTAAACGTTCATCAGTTTGACCTCGTTCCGTTTTGTGTTGATAAGACACTGATTCTGGTGGCATTTTTGGATGATTAGCTATTGTAGTTAACTGATTAGCACCCCCTGATCTTTGCTGGTGGAAACTGTTTGACATGTGTTTTTGAGATAAGTCAGGATGATTGGCTGATGAGGATTTCATAGCAAAGTTTGGACTGTTAGAACAACGCGAACTGGCAGATGAGTTTTTAGAAGGTGAAATAGTTTCTTTCACATGATCCACCACCCTTAAATCTATGGATGCTGCTTTATTTTTTGGTGGATGTGTGCTTTTCCAGATTGAGTAAGATATGTTTGAATGATGCTTGAGACTAGATTTAGAGCTGCTTTTTTGTTTCTCGCCAAAAGGGCTTCCTGAAGCAGATGGAATGTTTGATGATTTTTTATCTGTAAAAAGGTAAATAAACAATTTTTAAAATTTATTTAATTTTCAATATATTTCTTACAGATCACACATTTAAATATTTTTTTAACAGTAAACATTTGGTATAAATTAGAGGCGTTTTTTTATTAAATTAATAACCAACTAAGTTGATCTCTTATTTTTATTCCTTCAAGAATATCTAATACAATATAATCAACTCTTTGAAGTAGTTTTTGTAACTATTTTATACTTAAACAGGACAATTTTCTTATAAGAATCTAATGGGTATCTTATTTTACTTCAAAACCTAACTAAGACATCTATCTATTGGCTTCTGTTAATGTTTTAAAGTCATTATTTCTTAATAAAGAAATATGTAAACACTTTGAGAATTATAAGTTAATTATCTCCAGAGCACTGAATTATTGTTTTCTAATTGCAGTTTTCATTTCAATTTTCAGCCTATTAAGTAGGCAAAATCTTATTCTAAATTAAATGATATTAACAACTTTTATAGATGTAAAAAAATTAAGTTTATTCTTCAAACAAATGTTTTACTAACTCCACCTATCTCAACACTAACCTAATGAAAAATCCAACGGATAGTCCTCTTGATAACTAGTTGATGGATAGCTTGGTGTAGTTATTTTCACCTCTGGTTTCACAGTTTGTAAAGATTGACTAGGATTTTGACTGTTGCCTGAGTCTTTAGACAGAGCTTTGAGCAAAATCTTGTGCGGCAGAGCATCATCAGCCGCTTCTGAAGGTGGACAAAATGGTTTGAAAGGAGATTCATTACTGGAAGGTATAGGTTTTGGTGTTTTACTCGATTTCTGTGGTGAAAGGGAACTCAATTTGGAATTCTTTACATCACTATTTGACCTGAAAAAAGATCTAAACTATAAAACCAAACTAAAATTGACATAAAGATGAATGGAGCTCTAGAAATACATATTACAAATGTAGATATCAATATTGTAAATGCCGATAACAAGTTAGAGGCTTTAAATCAAAAATAAGTGTTATTTTAAAACAAAATAGAAATCCACCTGAAATAAGACTTGATTTGACTAAAATAGTGTGTGTACTGATAAAAGACTGATAATTCAGCATCTGTCAGTCCAAAAATTTCATTTTTGAAAGCAGCAGAGTCCAATTTTAAAAAAAGCACTCTTCATCAATTTCCTGACCAATTTATTCAGAAAAAATCATAGGTGAATTTAAAACAAATAGGTGAGATTGAAAACCATAAATATTTATTAATTTACTATTTTTTAAGCAGTTTAATGGGAAAAATATTAAATATTAATAGAGTGTGAAATGAAATAAAAGCTGGAAAAAAAAAACACATATTGATTCATTAGTTGTATGACATTAGTATTAGTTTCAACAATCTATAACGTTTTTAAAAATGTTAGTGACAGAGGCTATTTTGGAAAATAACCTTATTCAAACAACGTGAGATGGAAAATGTCATCTGTTAAAAAGTTAATAATCTAATAAGATGTATGTTTATATTGTAATCCTGTTTTTTGCAGTCAAAAATTTCACAAATGTGAGAAAACTCTTATTTGAGAAATAAAATTTTTATGGCTGATTTTAAACTTGATTGATGGTTGATTAAAAAGCATACAATATTTGAAAATTACAAACTTTCAAATATTGTATGCTTTTTAATATGCTTTTTATTGTATGTTTATTAATAACAAACTGATTTATATTGTACCTAAGTTGAAAGAATATAAAATACCAGGACCGGAGGTTATTGATGGAATCAGCAAATCGAGGTTGTTGTAAGCAGTCTGACTGATGCATTGCCTTGTTTTGTTCGTTTGTTTTTGGCAACAATTTTTTTTCTCAATTTTATAGAAAATATATCAATAGAAGTGTTATTTTTTTTCGTCTAAGTTTGTCTTATGTTATAATCTTTATTAAAATATTTCTTTTTCTCAAAATGATCTGTTTATTTACAATTGTAATTTAATTTCAACACGTTATTAGCACGACGCTTTGAGTAAATAAATATTAGAAATTCGGATCTAAGAAGATAGGCAGCACAATAATCCCCGCTATGGAAGAATACAAATTGAAGAAGTTGAACGGCGAAAACTATAATGCATGGGCAATACGTGCCCGTGCACTGATGGTGCAGAAGAAATGCTGGGAGGCAGTTGAGCCTGGCTATGGACTTGCTGAAATGTCCGAAAATGAGAGAAAGAAAAATGATGAAGCATTAACTCTAATGTTCTTGATTGTAGAAGATACGTTTTTGAATGATATTGGCGGCCGTGCCAAAGCGAGGGACGCATGGATTGTATTGAAAGATATGCATACTAAATTTGGCTTACTGCATGTTTTGCAATTAATGAAGGACTTTTTTAACATTACCTTGAAGCCTGGTGAAACAATTTAATCATATTTGACCAGATTGATTGAAATACACCGAAAACTGTCGAGTGGTGGTTACGCTTTCACCGACAGAGAAGTTGCCCTCGTCATGTTAATAGGTCTGCCAAAATCATATGAAAGCTTAATCCTGAACTTAGAAAAGGACGAAGATAACTTGACAACAACCATTGTGAAGTCTAGACTATTAGTTGAAGAAAAAAGAATACAGTGTAAAGTCGCATATCCGGAATCGGTGGGACTTCCAGAAGTCTGTATAATAGATTTTTCCGTATAATAGACCCCCAAGGTAAACAAAGCTTAAAATGATTTAATAAACGATCTGAATCTAAGAAGCAAAAAATAAATAAACGTTATTTTTAAGGGGAACAATGCTTTAGCATTAAAATATCTAAATCAAATATAAAATATTAGAAAAAAAATATTATTGCTGAAAATATGGAAAACGAAAAAAATTTAACAGTTATGAAAATATTAATCCGCCATTTTGAACTAGAACGTTTCAAGCAGGAAGGGGAAATTCATGTCATTCTGGAACAAAGCTTAAAATGATATAAATCTAAGAAGCAAAAAATAAATAAACATTATTTTTAAGGGGAATAATATTTCAGTATTAGAATATCTAATCAATAAAATATGAAATATTAGAAAAAAAATATTATTGCTTAAAATATAGAAAACGAAAAAAAATTGACATATGAAAATAATAATCCGCCATTTTTAACTAGAATGATTCAAGCAAGAAAGGGAAATTCCCGTCATTCATTAAGGTGGGTAGGTGGAGGAGAAAAATTCATTTCCTCCTTATTTGTGAAAGAAAAT